ATAGTAATATTAATCATAATTCATATTTCATATTGATAGATTAAATACAAAGTGCTTCCCAAGAGCCAGTTTCAAAAGATAGAATCGTTCAAATCGTTGGCACCAATAAAAGAGATTTAAAAACAAGTGAATAAGCAACAATAAATGCAGTCGGTGAGGAAAGATATACAGAATGATAAGTACGTTGGAACCACAACAAACACCAAAACAACCTTTAATCAAACATCACTCAAAGTCAAAATAATATCTAGTCAGATTAAAACATTAACTCACACGATTAACATAAAAACCAAACACCTCTAAATATTTAAAATCCCTCAACCAGAACCTAAATGTTCACTTTGTTGGTGTGACCGTTAGCTGAATGATGATTTGTTAACAGAATTACACAACGGCCGGCTTCTGGTGTTATTCAGCACTGATTCTGTTTTAAACGTGATGTAATAATCAGCTGCAGATGGAGAAGTGAGTCTCAATAAAGCTGAGTCAAGATGACTCAACCAAAACAAAGGTATGTGTATGATATTCAACAGGGCTTTAATATGCAATAATGATCCTCATTACTCTTAAATCATTCGTTTTTGGAGAAAAATGGTGTAAAATGTTTTTAGAGACCTCAAGATTTAGGCTGTGCTCTTTAACATGTTCACCTTGTTGAGTGTTTTATAACAATCAACCGTGATGAGTATCAGGGAGGAATGGCTTTCTTTTACCAAATTTAATCTTCATTTTCCAAAACTGCTTCATTCATTGTTTTGGATGTTTCCTCCTGGGCTCTGGTCTTACTCTGTGTCCTACAGCATGTAGATAAAGAGAAAAGTGCATCAGTATCAGGAACAAGAGCAGAGCAGAGTGAGACATCACTGAAGCAGAAACTAGACTGAGCTGGTGCTGACATGATTTGTCAATTGACAAAAAATGAACAAATTTACGAATAATTAGTCAAACAGCCTTGTGTGAAAGTGAAGGAACATTGGTCGGATAAAACAAGCTTGATGAGACCTTGGACTTTAGTTCATTGTTATTTTCCCTCTTCTCTTACTTCTATAGACTTAACTATATATGAGTCAACTGAGAAAATAATCATTAAGACAAATATTAATTAGCAGCAGACCTGGACAACACTAACTGTTGATCCAAGATCCCAGAGCTCTGACAAGATGTGACATGATTAATCTCTCCTTCCCTCCTCACGTCCCCATCCTTATACTCGTACTTTAAATACATAATACTCTATTTAACAGCCTAAATCTAAATATTACCTTAAGATCTGGCCATTGTTTTTTGCAGTTTTCCATGTGCTTGTAGGCTTTCTTCACACTTTCTTCATCAGTGTTCTTGTAGTAAACCCTGATCAGCTTCTCAGAGAAGTATTTCGGGTGAAACACGGACTTCTGAAAAGAATGAAAGCAGCATACATTAGAGAATAATGACATATCAGAGGAGGCCTTATAAAGAAAGACACACAAGATAATGCCACGATAGATTAAGATTAAAACTGTTGTGGTGTAGTTCAGACCTGGTTGTCGGGGAGCTTGAATCCTACATCAGGTTCTCTCTTATTGTAGAACCGCATCTTATCGATGGGGTCCTCGCTTTTCATCCCATAGTCAAATTTAATGATCTAAGAGACAGACGCCTGTTTTTACTTTCACATGTAAATTATGCCAATGAAGGAAGGCAACATCTCACAAATTAAAATGAATATTCAAGATTTTAAGAAAAGTGAAGTGTAGCAGGGGAAATGACCAGTTTAAACCTATAACATAATAATCTCTTCATGTTATAAAGGAATAATAAAAGCTTTATTATTATGATCTGTTGTATGCTGTAAGATGGAAAACAAGAGAAAGAATAGGAGTAGAAAGGACATGTTTCTGTGCACATTTGACAAGTACAAAAGAAAAAGTTGTCAGTTGTTATGGTGGGTTTGTAAAGTGATGTCACAGCTCACTGAGAAGTGAGAAGACGCAGCTCTAGAGACGACTGGCTGGCTAGTAAGCTAGTTAGCTTGTCCATCTCTGGAGCAGTGAGTGAGGCGGTTCTTCTCATTTTCT